TGGAGAGGCAGTCGGCGTACGACCGGCTGACGGCGGGCGCAAGCGTCCTAGTGTAAAAACCATGATGTCCCTAGAATCTCGCAACGAGCCGCAGATGCTCCGGTGGTTTCGAAAGACGTACCCCAGCTACGACCTGCAGCCGCTGCTGCTGAAGCGCCAGCGAGAGCTGGAGGAGGCGCGGGCCTTCAACAACTGGCTTGGCGAGCGCCGGCTAGCCCAGGAGGGGCAGCGGCACCTGGACGACGTGAGCCGGCTGACGGAGGCAGTGCACCGCCAGGTCCCTCAGCTGCGCTACGCGCGCGCCGAGCGCAGGGGTGAAGACGCTTCGGTCCCACGGCTTCAATCAGCGCCCGCGCTTCGAGCAGGTTGTGGGCTACCTGGAGCGGAACGAGCCGCTGCCCCTGGACCAGCCGGACCGCAAGGCCACCACGCTCGTCACGAGCCACTTCTACTTGGACGATTTCGTGCAGTCCAGCGAGGACCCCAACCCGCAGCCTCTGCAGCACACGCCCCTGAGGGCGATTCCAGAGGAAGGCTTCCGCACTCCCGCCAAGGCCACGGACGAGGACTTGGCCCGGATGCGCCAAGGCGGAGGAAACCGCTTCGGCGAGGACGACCTCGCAGGAGACCCAGAGGCCGACGCGCTGACGAACAACGGACAGGGCCCGCCCTCCATCACGGGCCGTCTGCGCAGCGCGGCCGACGGAGCGCAGGCAGCAGCGGACCTTGTGGGCGCAGGAGCAGCAGGGCTCGCGGCGGCGCAGGCCTTCCGCTCCCAGCTCCCCCAGGACGCAGCTGAGTACGTCCGCCTAAATGTATTGCCCCGCCCAGGGCCGCAGCCGCAGCCACCACCGCAGATCATAGGCCGACCCGACGACGTAGAGCGCCTCCTGGACGAGGCGGGGCAGCGCGCGCAGGAGGTGGAGCGTGGCGCAGCGCAGGCTATAGAGGAGACGGCAGCGGTGGCTGCGGAGGAGGGTGAGGTAGCCGTTGCCGCAGAGGGCGTGGGCGGAGCCTTTGGGTATCTGGGGGGCCTGGCAGAAGGGGCCGCTGCTTTGGCGCCCACGGCGGGAGAGGTTGCTGGAGCGATGGCTGCCACGGCGGGAGTTGGCGCAGCGGCAACGGCAGGGTTGGCCGTGGGACTCGCAGGCGGCGCAGCCTACGGCCTGGCCCGCGGCACGGGCTGGGTGCTGGAGAACACGCTCTTCCGGCCTCAGCAGGGCAGCGAGGACGCGGCCGTGCAGGACGTCCGGTCCGCCAACAACATGAACGACGCCACGCAGCCCCAGCACTTCACGCTGCGCACCGGCAGCAGCACTTCGGGCAGCCCCGCAAGCAGCCGCGCCTCCTCGCAGTCTGGCTTCCGAGTCCAGGCGCAGACCAATCACACGCCCCGCCCCTTCTCCTGGGGCCTGAACCCCGTGACTCTGCCTCAGTCCCAGCCGAACTCCCGGGCAAGCTCCCGCAGCTCGGGGCAGCGAGCGCCTCTCCTTAGACCAAGAATTAAAACCCCTGCTCCGAGACGGATCTTCCCGACCCCAGCCCGGTGAGCGCCACTACAGGAGACCTATATTCCCAGGTCCGACACGGATCTTCCCGACCCCAGCCCGGTGAGCGCCTCTCCTTAGAGTAAGAATTAAAACCCCTGCTCCGAGACGGATCTTCCCACCTCCAGGTCGCGCCAGAGCCGCCTGCCTCCGCCGAGCTACGACCAGCTGGCCCGAGATATCGAGGCGGCCTAGACTCTCCTTCGCCGTACGAACAAAAATGAGTGTTGCGCTACATGTAAAGAAGCATGGAGGTAGTCACAGCCGGAGCACAGGATGAGTTGATGCAGAGCTTGGACTACAAGCTGAAAACCAGCAACACCAACTACGTGACCGCACGCCACGACGTGCAGTATTTCCCCAGCTCGCTGAGCTCCTTCTCCCCCGCCACCTCGAGGGTCTGCCGCATTCCGCTGACGAGCGGCACCTCGTTCATCGACCCCGAGTCGATCAAGATCGCCTTCAGAGTCAGAAACACGGACGCCACCAACCCGCTGGCGCCTGCCACTCCGAACCCCGCCTGTTTCATCCAGAGGATCCAGGTCTTCGCCAACGGCCAGCGCTGCGACGACATAAACTACTACGGCCGCACCGTAGCCGTGCATGACCTGCTGAAGGGCCGCGAGTACAACCAGAACAAGGCCGTGGAGGGCTTCGACGAGGTGAACAACTCTCGGACGCCCCGCGCGGTGCACCAGAGCGGCTACGCGGACGTGCTGCTGCGCCCCACCATGGTGGGCATCCTGCGCTGCGGGAAGATGCTGCCGCCGCAGCTGAACCTGGTGATAGAGATCGAGTTCGCGGACGCGACGACAGCGCTGTGGTCCGAGAACGCCGGGGCGCACCCGGCGGGAGCCACGCTGAGCACCGACTTTCGAGATCCAGAACGTCCGAGTTCTGGCCTCCCAGGTCGTCCTGGACTCTGCGCTGGTAGAGTCCTTCAACCGGGTGCTCCTCTCAGGAAGGTCCCTGGTGTTCAGCTACCCCACGGTGCACACGCAGCAGTCCAGCGTCCCGAACGGCGTGGCGGAGCACAACGTCACCGTGGCGCGCGCCTTCACGAAACTCATGGGCGCGTTTGTGACCTTTTGGGACAACGACGCGGGCTCCAAGATCCACTTGCTGGCCAACCCGGGGCAGGACGTGGCCCCCATCGGCGCGGCGAGGCAGGAGGACAGCCTCCTGGAGTCTCAGATGCAGCTGGGCAGCCTGCAGTACCCTCACAACCCCATGAAGGGAGCCTCGGAGCACTTCCACTTCCTCTCGGTCCTCGCGGGGACCTACGATGACACGGTGCGCAACATCGACATCGACCGCGCTGGCTACCTGCGCCACAGCTTCATCGCGGGCTTCCCGACGGAGCGAGTGCCCAAGATGCCCCTCACCGTCAGGATCCACAGCTGTACTTCGCGTAGCTGTTCTCCGGTTAGGAGCTGACGCCTTAACATGTATATTTGTGCGTTTGGCACGAAGCCAACAGTCACGAAAGCGTGGTTCGTGCGACAGCAACATCCATGCATCGGCCAACGCTCGACCTCTATGTGTCGGAGTAGGTTGAAGACACCTTATTGTGAGGTATTCTGTGTGGCGCAACGCGTGACAAAATGTAAGTCTTGCTTTGGGCGCGCTAGCCCGCTTATCCATGCTGTGCCGACATGACCCTGCCAAGCGCGATTGAGCCAAAATGAAAGGTGGCGCTTGGTGGCTTTCAAAAAATTGGATGGCCTACTGAGTTGCTTGCCCCAGACGTGCAAAGGTGAAATCAAAAAAAGCATTCCGGCTGTAAGTGCGCAAGGTTTGGTGGTTCAAGAGGCAAAGACTGAAAAGGGTTTCATGTTCCCCCCGCGGTTTGGAGAAACTATGGGCATCTGTTTAGCGCTGGTTTTTGGATGGTGCCCTTTTTCACCTTCTTGGGGTGGGCCAAAGGGAGCCCAAATGAACACCCGCAATTTTGCCCTTAAAGTCTTGATTCAGAAAGCTCAAATGAACAACCGCCATTGTGCCCCCTATTGACGATGCCTTTTTTCGTTTCTTGAAGTGGTCTAAAGGGGCAACCGCCATTGTGCCCTATTTGACGACGCCCTTTTTTGTTTTTTGAAGTGGTCTAAAGGGAGCCCACATGAACAACCGCTGTGTTGCCTGCCCTTTTTCGCTTTTGTGGGGTGGTCTGTAGGGAGTCCACCGTTCCCCCGACACGTACGACACGCTCGTAGTTCTGTTTTGGGTTGCTTCAAGGGAGCTAAAGACAGCTTTGGCCCCTTATTTTGACAAATCCATTTGCCACCCACGTGGGATGCAGAGCTGTGACGCCCAGTGTCCTACGCCGCCTGTTCAAACAAGCATTTGCGCTTGTGCAGAAGCAGTGCCACGGTACGCAGCCCTTACCTATACTTTGGGGGGAAGTGAAGGCCATGAGGCCGCCACAAATTCCCAATTGTCCAAGCGACTTTCTTTTGCGCATGCTCTGTATTTGTGCTTTGTCTGTGGCTTGCGCTGCCGCCGGCCGCACGTGGATGGGCGAAGCTTCTGCGTGGTTTGCCTGCGCAGGCGTGGTCGTCTTTCGTGTGGCGTCAGCTGTCAACACAGCCTTCCTCCGAATATCAACCAGGGTCAGAAGTTGGACAACCCTCGCTCAAGCGCTTTTAGCTGAAGGAGCCCCTCGTTCCTATTTTGCGCAAACAGCCCAGTCAAGAATTTTTTTACTGGCTGAGATTGTTTGGATCAAACTTGGACAACCCTCTTCAACCATGCGCTGTCTTACCCTGGCACCAAAAACAAAACCTCTTCAACTTTCGCGCCAAGAAGGCTTGGATTGCCATTGTAGTTGGCCTTGATTTTGGATTTGTTGCCCAATCCCCAAACCCAAAGAGGGCCAGCCAAAAAAACAAGGCCTCTCAAACCATTCCAAGGATGGTCTTTCCGATCTGGCCCCCAAGATCTTGCGGCGTTGGCCAACTGAGCATACATCAGGACTGCCTATATTTTGATATGGGTCTGTGCTTTCCGGGTGGCACCCTTTCAGGTGCTTTGGATTCCCAACTGCAAATCAGGCCAACAAAGGTCAAGTGACCACAAGGGGCAATTTTAACAAGTGACCTTTTTGGCTGGTTTTGGGGTGCAAAAAACGCCAAAAAAGGTCACTTGCTAAAATGGCCCCTGGTCAACCGCTCTTGGGGGGTTGCTTTGTTTTGGATACGGGGTGTGTGCTTTTTGGGTGGCACCCTTTCAAGGGTTTTGGTTAACTGAGCAAAACATCAGTGTTGCTTTGTTTTTGATGTGGGTGTGTGCTTTTGGATGGTGCCCTATCAAGGGTTTTGCTTTGGCGGGAAACCAGCAGGAACAAGTGTTGTTGTTGATTTGGTTCGGAGAGCATTTTTGCTCACTGCCATACATAAACAAGGGTGGAGTGCGGGAGGCAAACCGGCAATGACATTTGCCTCATTTGTGTTTTGCAGCTGCTGCCCCCCAAATTTTGGCCTGCCACCATGAGCGTTGCGCCCTTCGAGCGCGGCCTTTGCCCGGCATGGAAGTCGGTCCGCCACGGCAAAATTTCCTGGGATGAGAAGACAGTGGACGCTTTGTCAGCAAGGAAGTTGCAAATCGGTCGACACTTGCGTCGCGTCGCAGCCGTTGCAAAGTCAAAACAAATTGCCCGAGCCACCCCAAAAGCAATTCCTATCTGGGTGTCTTTTTTAAGCGTCCCCCAAAATGGGCGGGCTCTCCTGTTGGTTTCAACTGAAAAATCGAAAAGGGGGCGTCCCAAATTTGTTCTTTCGGGCCCTGAAGCCACAAGACAAATAAACTTAATTTGATTTGCTCTTCTATTGTCGCATCTCAAGACCTACCCCCAAGAAGGGTTTCCTTGAATGGGTTTTGCATTCCAGTTGTGTCTTTGTGAGTTCCCGTTATTCAGCGGTCGTTCAGGCTAAGCTCGCTGAGGGGATTCTTCAAAGTTTCCCAGAGCGCGCTTTGCAAATCATTGTGCACTCCGCCCCGGACAAGCCAGCAGGCAAGTTGGTCACCTTGAAGGATGATCTTAGCCGACCCTCCTACCGTGAGATCTCTGCTAACTATCTGGTCTTGCGACCGATCGTTGAATCTTCTCCACATGCAGCAGCTAGGCTGCAACAATTTGCATTTTCTTGCAAGGTTCAATACTCTCAACACACAAGTCGGCAGTTGCTTGGAGAAGTGCCCAGGTGCCCAGTGGTTTCTACTTGGTGGACGTGCTGTTGTACTTGGACAGCCTGGTGGAGGGCAAGCTGTACGGGAACGGGCCCAACAGAGTTAAGTTGGCGACCTTGGATGCGAACCGCGTGAAAAAGCTGGTGGGCAGCTTGCGGCACCTGAGTGCGCATTTAATTTTTTGGGACCAACACAATGTTGTGTTTTTGCATCAAACTTGGAGGCAAACCGCCCCGACCCAGGTACTTGTTCAGGAACAGCAAGCAGTCGATTGACGAGCGGGTGACAGCTCTCAAGTCTTTGGTGCTGCCTTCACCGACGAGGAGCCGCAGCGCAGTTGCCTGGGCGCATTCCAATCTTTATTTCTTTCTGATGTCACCCAAGTTGTTCCCGGGAAAATGTTGATATGAATTTAGCTATAGTGCTGTTTCCTATCATAGTTGCTTCAACCTCTGCCGTTTGCGCTGCAAGGCTGGACGAAGCGAGGCGGAGGGTGACGCGGGTGGCGACGCTGAGGCGCAGGAGGAGCAGGGCAGCGACAACGAGGACGAGCGGGCGGAGCAGGGCGACAACGAGGACGAGCAGGAGCAGGGCGACAACGAGGACGAGCAGGAGCAGGGCAGCGACAACGAGGTCGAGCAGGAGCAGGGCAGCGACAACGAGGACGAGCAGGAGCAGGGCAGCGACAACGAGGACGAGGAGCAGGAGCAGGGCAGCGACAACGAGGACGAGGAGCAGGAGCAGGGCAGCGACAACAAGGACGAGCAGGCAGAGCAGGGCAGCGAGGACGAGGACGAGGATTGGCAGCCTGGGCCGCGCGACGGCAGCAGCGACTCGGAAACGTGCTCGGACTCGGAGGAGGACGGCAAGCTCTCTGCTTGTGAGGACGGTAGCGGGGACCACTACAACGAGACGCAGGAGGGCTGCACCTACGCGGAGGGCACGGCGGCTGACCTTTGCGTTGAGACTCAGGTTGATTGCCCTGACAGCGAGAGCTCCAACGGCGATGACGCGGCAGAGCCTTGCGAGATCTATGGCAACAAGCCCGATGAGACGGAGGAGCAGCAGAGTGTGGCGAGCTACACGCAGGAGGACGACCTGTCTGCGGTCAAGGACGGTAGCGAGAGTGAAGAGGTGATCCCGGTGCCCGCAGGCATGTTGCTTGGCGCCCTCACTTCGGGTGGCTCCGACTCTGACAGCGATGGGGACACGCTGCCTTGGGGAGCTCAGGCGGGCGCTGAGGCTGAGACGACGGCGTGCGAGGACAAGCCTAAGCTCATTCGTAAGAACGCTGCTTGCTTCGACGATGACCTGACGCCGGTGGGGTTTGCGGGGACGAAGGGGGCGCGTTTCCTTTTATCTAGACCTCTTTCAACGAATCAACCAGCAGTGGCAAACCCGAGTTTTAGGGTTTGGGCGGGTGGCAAACGGCCAAACGTTGTAAAATCCTTGGCTGAACTTTGGGGGCTGCAAACCCTTAGTTGAGTGCGGGCAAACCCTAGTTTGGGGGGGCCAAACCCTAGGGGGGCGTGCCAGGGAACCGCGGCTGGAACCGCGGCTGAACCGCGGCTGGTTTGAACAACAGACAACACCCACAAACACAAACTGTGACGCTCGCGGGCGGTTTGGGTGCGCTCAACTGTAAAAATGGCTTGCCCCCCCAAACTGGGGTTTCGGCGGCTTCCATTTTGCAATCCGTAGAACCAATCCAACAAGGATCCCTCTTGACAAAACACACGTTTTGGTTGACTCGATACTTTCGCCAATTAGTGCGAAACTCATCAGAAAGTCTTCAAATGGAATAGGAGGGTTCTCCTCGCGCTTTGGTTGTCAAGAGACCTTTTATCTTAATTTGGCCGCCGCAGGTGTCTATCAAGAAGCGGCCCTCCGAGACTACGAACCACAACCAGCCAGCGAAGAAGCCGTGCCTGTCTACAACACGAGTGACTGGCGAGGAGCTCCGGTTTGCCCGAAACTTGGTAAGTCGCCAACACCCTCCTAAGTTTCAAAGCGTTGGGATCTAATCAGGTGGGTTGCGGCAAGTTTGGAAATCATCCCTTAATGAAAGAAATCAGGCGGGTTGCGGCAAGTTTGGAAATCATCCCTTAATGAAAGAAAGTTGCAGGACTCACAAGACTTGGCTGAAACGTTGGCTCTCCTGGGCAGTGGTACGGTTGAGAAACCCATTCCCCTGACTGTCGATGCCATCAAGATCCCCCCTTTGCGGCGCCCGACGTGCTTCAACGAGACAGTTGAAAAACTGAAGACTGCGGGGCCTACAAAAGTTGGCTCGCAGAGGGTAGCTTTATCTGATAAACAAGATATTGTGGTTACTTTGCCCATTTACTGTAGGGCTTGTGTTCTTTGCCAAAGTCTGCCTGTCGCAGACCCTTCCAGGTTGAAAAGAAACCCAAGGGCAAGAAGGAGGCTGACAAGGGCGCAAAGACTGCAAAGGCCGTTGCGCCCAAGGCATCTTTCAAGAGGCCTGGGGCCAAAGCGGTTGCCAAGAAGCGGAACGACACAATGATCGAGCCCGACCTGAACCCTGCTTCGCCTTTTTACGGAGAGTACTCGCTGGCATTCATCCCAAAGAGCGCGTGGCCAAGCTTGCAGCGTACTCACCGGGGTGTTCACAGTTACACAGTTGAGTACAAAGGGGCGTTGCTGGACGTTTTGCTCCGGTCGCTTTCTACGTGAAGCGGGCTGTGAAAGAGGGGCGGAGTGGCAGCGTTGCCTTTTCCAAGTGGGGCGGGCCAGAACAGGCCTGGAAAATTGCTTTGAGGTTGGCTGGCGTGCCGAATGAGGAGGATTAGGCCGAGCCCAATTTATGGACTATTTGACCATTAGGCATCAAGAGTCCCAAGAGCAAACCATGTGTTTCTTCAGTTTTGCCAACCGGGCTGAATGCTTCCTTTGCAGGCGCTGCCAGCTTAGATTTGGGGTAGGGAAGCAAAAGCGTCTTCCTAGGGGTTCCCACTCAATGAGTGGGTCGTTCGATCAGCAACGCAAGGAGAAAAAATTTGATCAGCCAACTTGCAGAAGTGCGACTGCTGTGTTTTCCAGACCCCTTAGCCAGACCCTTTTTGGTAGAAGTGCCGCCCCGCACATTTGCGTCCCAGCTACCAGCGGGTCCCGCCAGGCCAGCTGCGTGGACTTCGAGCCTGAGATCAAACGATCGAACAAGGCGTGCGCGGCCACGTCGCTTAGAGTTTGTGTTGCAGGGGCATCTTGTAGGCACACGCTCGTGCCAAACCATTTTGCGGGTTTGCAGGTCTGTTGTAAAGGTGAGATCCATTTTCCCGACCATGGCAAGCGCAAGCTTGTTTCTCTCTCATGGCAAACCCTCAATAACACGGTAGCATTTTGTGGAATGCGGCCATCTTGTAAAATGTGTGTTCAGTTCGTCCCAACAACATCCTGGGACTCAAATGGACGTGTTCCTGCATTTTCTCAACCATTAAAATAACACCCCCACCCCCAAACAAATGCCTTCTTCTAGGCTCTTCTTTCCCTCATGGCTCAAGTTGCGGGCAACCCTAGAAACCCTGTGGCATTTTGAGGACGGACCTTTGATTTGTCTTCAGGTTTCTGTGTCCATGCAAAACGAGGTGTTCAGCTCACCCTTTGCTTTACAATCAAAAAACACACCCCGCAGCACCCCCCTAAACAAATGCCTTCTTCTAGGGCCTTATTCCATAGCGGCTAACTGAAGAGCATCTCTATATTCATCGCATCAACCAACACAAATCCCCCGAACACCCCTTACTTGGATGCCTCTTCTAGTTCTAGTCGGCTTCTTTTTTTGCAATAGCTCAAGCCGTTCCTTGTAAGACGCTTCTCTTTTGGTTCCCATTCTTTTGGACCAGCAAGAGTGCTTTCCAAAGGGGGTGGAGTAGACAGGGTTGCTTCTCCTTCTTTCCAACGGGCTAGGGTGCCGTTGAAAAGGGGGCGGGTAAACTTGGTTGGCCTCTGGCCCGTATTCTTCTCAACCACAAAAAAACGCCTTCGACAAACGGGTGAAGCAGTCAAACCCCTCAGTCGCAAGGGGTGTCCCTGCCACTGGTTGCCAGTAGGTGGTTGCCACTGGTTGCCACTCAATGGTTGCCAACTGGGTTGCCACTAAATGGCTGCCACTGAATGGTACACTGCTCAAGCCTTTTCGCTTTTGCGGTGTTTCTGCCAGGCCCCTAGCCCTCCCAGCTTCCAGCCATGGGCAAAGGCAAGCCAGGCCGCCAGAGCTTGAAGGACCGGCTCGCCAAGGCGCCAGCTCATCTTCGGGCTGATGCTCCTGAGATGGGCAAATCCTACCGCGAGAAGCGGAAGAGGTGGATTCTTGCAGGACTTAGAGTGATGCGGGCCCCGGCAGACCCTTGGCTTTGGGGCAAGT